CTCGAGGGGCTACCTAATAACTTTACCTGGGCTAATCTTGAACTTCCCCAGCATTTATGGAAATTTTCTTTTGACTTTCTGTTAAGGCCTTTCAGGTAATCCCTTTTTAAAATATAGGAATTTCTCTTGAAGATTTCTCTTCTAAACCTGGCATTAGAAGTAACTGCAGTGGGAACAATACAGGGAGAGAAAAGAGAGAAAAGAGAAGCTATTTCTACATTACACCTCTTAACCTCTCAAATTAATCTACCTTACTAATGAATGAATGAATGGATGAATTAAAAGATGACCGGTAAGGGGATCTTAACCCTTGACTTGGTGTTGTCAGCACCACGCTCTCCCAAGTGAGCTGAACGGCCATCCGTATTGTAGGGATCCGAACCGTGGCCTTGGTGTTATCAGCACCACACTCTCCCAAGTGAGCCACGGGCCGGCCCTTACTAATGAATTTAATGTTAATTTAAAATGTTATTTCATTATTGATTTCAGAAACATGATTACAGCAATTTTAAATAAAAATGAAAATCTTCACCTACAATCCTATCTCCCTAGCATAATAAACTTTTAATTTTTTTCTTTTCTCCTAGAAATTGGCTGTATAAATCTATAACTCATACCTGGTAGAAATTATACTGAGGCTATTACTGTGTATTTTAATTTATTATGAATAGGCCTTTTTTTTGTTTGACTTTTCAAAACTGGGGAGAAGTTGTAAAACTAATGATTTATTTCAAAATGAATATTTTAGAATGATTAGAAAGTTAATTTAAGGAATCTCATTCTGTTTATTCTGTTTATTTAGTTTTTTGCTTTTTTGTTTGTTTTGTTTTCTTTTTTTACTGTATTTATTTTTGATGTACAAATCTGTTTATTTAGTTTTTTGCTTTTTTGTTTGTTTTGTTTTCTTTTTTTACTGTATTTATTTTTGATGTACAAATGAACTGCTTAAAATTTTTCCAGATTCTCTTACCCCTTAAAAAAATGAATATATAGAAAGAAACAGAAAGAGAGAGGGGCAGTTAGGAAGGCAGGCAGATACAAATAAATTCAGTTTTTTGAGGTTAATTTGTACCCACCAATGAACTATTCTTCCTGTTAAGTTAATATAGTATATCCACACAATTAAATCACAGATAACTGTAGTGATATGGAAAGATTTTGAGGGTATGTTGTTAAGTGAAAAGAACAAGGTGCAGCACAGTATATATGTGTTTGTGTGTGTGTGTGTATATATATATATATTTGCTTGTATCTGCACAAAAATCTTGGAAGGATCTACAAGAAATTAATAACAATTGTGGGGTGGGTGAGGAGGAGATTGGGGGTTCAGGGGTATGTGTGAGACTTCTTTATGTATACTTTGTTATAATCTCTAGGTTTTTGAACCATTTGAATTTATTACTTATTTAAAACTGAAACAAATAATCTATTTTAAAAGGAGGGGAAAAAGTACTATTCCTTGCCTTTGGCTTTTAAAAGTCTATTTTGTTGTATGAGGGTACTGCAAAAAGTTTGTGGAAAAATAGAATTAAAAGATAATACTTATCTTTCCATGAACTTTTTGAAGTACCCTCATATATCTGTTTAAAACATTTATTGAGTTTTCTGGATTACTGCTAAAAAATTAAAATTAGGATTAGTAAACTGCCATTTTGATTAGACTGTGTACTTTATCACACGTAAAAATGCTTTTAATAATTATGCTTGCAGTAATGGCTATGGATAGCAATGTATGCTACCTGCAAAGGCACTTGTATATTTTGCTGGCAATGTCTAAGCAGCTTAGGAAAGAGTGTATATGTGTCAGGTTTATGTTGTAAATGGTGACTTTCTACCCCTTGTGAGTGTACGAGTATTGATAACTGAGGAGCAGCCCAAAACTTTCATGCTTTAGTTAGCTTCCGGGCATATCTGAAAAAAAGTAGACCTGTAATATGGGGTCATTTTCCATCTTAAATTTAATGTATATTCTTTCTTTTTTTTTTTTTTTGTCTTTTTTGTCTTTTTCCGTGTCCGGCAACGGATCGCAACCCTCAGTGTTGCCCCCGTACCGGACCGGGGACCGGCAACGGGACCGCAACCCTCGGTGTTGCCCCCGCGCCTCGCTCAGCCAGTGAGCGGGAACCGGTCCGTATGTGGGATCCGAACCCTTGGGCGGGAGCGCCACCGCGCTTCCCAAGCGGCGCACTATCCAGTGCGCCACCGGGCCGGCCCTAATGTGTATTCTTTCAAAGTTCAGTAAGCTGTAGTGTTTTTTTGTCTTTTTTTACTTTGATGGATTAGGCATCATTAGGCATGCAGAAGGAAATATTCCATTAGGATTTTCTCCTATTCTAAAACTATGTTTTTGAAATTAAAATGTAAGTCTATATCAGGTAAATGCTGTAAACATACCTCATAAAAAG